TCTGGCATAGAGCTTACAGCTGGAAGGCGGAGGACTAAGTGAAAAGGCGCTCGGTCGGTTTAGCTAAGTGCTTTCTTGGTTATTTCAGTTGTCCGTGAGTGCAAGAGTCCGTATCGGTCGGCTGACATAAATTGTGAGGGCTTGAGCACTTGGTGTAGCACTGGGCCAAATGAGCGATCAGCTCGAGAATCTGGATTATGTAGCTCGAATGTAGTTGTCATGTGATTAATAGCTAAGGCTCTAAAAACAAACTTCCAGAAATCATGCGTATAAATCGAATAAACTTTTTTGAATCGAAACGACGGTTTATCACATCTACAAATGTATATCAAATTTCTTTCTTTTACAGTATAACTATTCAGACATTATTAATTTAATTTAATATAACGCAATGTCCAAAGCTTAAAGTATTTATAATAATTTTTTTATATGGTACAGGTTTAGGTTCGGCGGTTCTTTATCCAACTATTAGTTTGGCTTAAGGAATTTGTTCCTGGCAAACAAAATATTGGAATTCCGAGCTCAAAACGGTTCGCAGTCTTGCTGAAAATAAACATGGGTGTTATAGAAAGATTTGTAGAGAAACAAACATAGATATCGATATAGGTTTAGGTATCTGAATAGAGATACATATACTGGGGGCAGCATTCGCCTGACCCTCTCTCTGACAATGTCAAACTTAGATCTGTGGCAAGGGGCAATACGAAAGGATGTTTTCCTGCTGCCTGCTGCCTGCTGCCTGCTGTCTACTGTCTGCTGCATTTCGTGCATGTCTTGTGCACTTTAGGTTATATTTATTACACAATTCCAATAAATAACATTTCGTAGGGCTTCCTGTCACTGGCTGGCCACTGGCATTACTGCGGCTGCTGACGACGATTGCTGACTGCCGACTGCCGGCTGCCGCCTAGCGACTGCAGCTTGTTGTCGGCACGAGGACAAGGACAACAATTTCTTTATGGTATTTATAAGGACATCGTCAGCTCGTCATCGTTTGCGCTTGACAGAGGCAAATTTTATTTACGACTACTATGCAAAGGATTCGCTTGCAACGGACGCGCATATGTATATAAATGCCTGCGAGCTGTGCAGATGCAGATACATATGCACATACAGATACATACATATGCAGCGGTATTGTCCGATACAAATGCAGTTGCAATTGTGGGTGTTTTTAACATGGGAATACATACTCGTATATAGCAAATATGTACGCGCATATCCACTCGTTCATATGTTTTCCTTATTGATACCTTAAAACATTTCACTGGCAATTCGAATACAATTATTAAGTATGTGGGAATTACAATTGATTGCAATGCGTTATTTATTAATATGTTGCCAATTTTTGAGACAGGATAAAGAGCTTCGCATATTTGTTACTTACTCTTACTATTGGAATATGATTAATATGTTCCATTTGATACTTTGTGACTGAGTAGGTTATATATTCTTGGTCAGCATTAACATCCCCAAAGATACTAACTAACCATTTCAGTCTGTTCGTATTTTTTGGAGACAATAGGAACACTTCATTAGTTGGTATTCACTTTTTTTTTTTTTTTTTTTTGATGAATCTTACCTTTGTACGGGGAGGAAGGTTATAGTTGGTGAGCACACTATCAGTAAATTCTGCAGATCCCAATTTTCAATTATCTATCTATTATCTATTATATTATCTGTGGAGATCATCATTACTACAACATCGGTACTTTCTTTTAACTTTCAAACATTTTCCGAAAATTCTCATTTCCTTTTTTAGTTTTAAAAGTATCAGCATTTGAAAAGGGTCTCTTCTTGGCTGACCTTTTGCTTCAGCTATTTTCTGAATTATGTATTTCCATATTGTATGTTAATATAACATATTTATTTAATAAATAATGTTACAAATAATATAGAAAAACTTATAAAGGAGGCGAGCACGAGACGCTTCATGCAACAAACATAATGTTTCTTTTTCTATTCCATGAAATATATTTCTATTCAAAAAAATTGAATAAGACGTATTCCTATTGGAGTCTATTGGTTGATTTTATAGCTCTGCTTACCGTAAGCCAAAGGTAAATCTTACCTATATAGAGGTAAATCATGGCTACTAGAGGCATAAAATCAACCAGTTAGTATCTCAGCTAATATATGTACCCGGTTAATAGAGGTCCGGATAATCGAGGCTCAACCACAGGCATATCATAAAAAACAAATTAAAAAAAAAAAATAGATTAAGCGTATCCTAAAACGGGGAAACAAATTTTAAAATCCACATTTTTTATTGCATTCTCTCAATACACGATTTTGATAGCCAACACGTGGTGTTAATAATTTGGGAAATTATAAAAATGCAGTTTATAAATTGGGTGTTTCAAGCAAATGCAAAATTGCGCCGAAAAAATTCCAACGTACACGCATTTCTATCTAGAAAAGCAAACGGAGGCAACATACCAATTTAAATTGAGCAATCATTTTTGTTTTTGACCCATACTTAAAAGTCATTCAATTCAATTTAATTATAATTATTATTTTTTGCGATTTCAAATAGGAAATTGCATTAACGTTGGGCAACAGCTTAGAAAGCTACCTGCCTTGAATACGAAAATACTCAGGTGAAAGTATACCCCAAACCATTTGCAAGAGAATGGAAAGCAATTCAATTATATTCAATTATTTGAACTTATAATCTCTTTCAGTATATTATGTTTACTCTGTTGTAAAATTAATTAATCATTTTCGTATAGCTGAGCAAAGTTCTGTTCCTCCAGCCGAGCCAGCCAATAAAGGAGTTTAAGATCACGTATTTTATTTATATCATGAATATTTTAGAATATGATTCCTGTTATACCCAGAACTTATTAAAAAGGAATATTTTAGTTTCCTATAAACATGAAGCATCTCCGATTCCATAAATTCTCGATGAGGCCGACGAGCAAAGTCAGTCAAGCCATGGGCGTCTCTATGTCCGTTCTCTTAACCCCGTATGCAGAAAGAGTTTATTAAAATTTCGATGTCTCCTTGAAGACATCGTTTTTGAAGAACAACTCGATAATAATATCAGTCAGTACCTCCCCTGATATCCATCGAGATTGAAAGAAATTCATTTTTAAGGATCGAGCCATGCACTTTGGTATATACACAATTTTGTATGTCATATTTAACACCTAAAAGAGGCGAGTTTGTGTATGTGCATTTATAGAAGGAAGCTCAGAGTTGGGCGCAGGGTATCGCCCAGTTGGGCAACCCCGACTGGGCCATTCTTACTTGTTGTTTTCTCAATGTAAGCTTACATAAGAAAGTTAGTTCTTAAGTAAGTGAAATGCCAAAATGTTCGCAAATTTCAAGAAGCATTCTCTAAGTGGCCTGCCTCACTTGTATATTTTTATACCCTGTACCCATTGAAAATGTTAAAAAACGGGTATAGCGGCTATGTGCAAATGTATATAACAATCAGAGGGAGGCAGTATAAATATACATCTTGCTCAGTCCGAATGTTTCGATCTTAAATTATTAATTAACTTGGCCCGTTTCCCTGAAATTGATAGAAATGATAATGAAATCCTGCTTTTTGAGCATATCCATTAATTTATAAGACCTAGAAATACCATTTCTGGTATATTGAATACTACAGTTTGTGGATACCTTGTTTCAAAGATATAGTCCTTGGCTTTGCTATTCGTATACGTTTGAATGCCTAAATTTCATAAGGATCGGACAATAAACACCGAGTTAGATCACGAAAGAATGTCCCATAGTGGCGGACTAAGAGAAGGAGCAGCGCAGCCGCAGCGTAAACTGCGTGTTAAAGGAAGCTGGAATATTTGTGACGTCAGCTCAGCGCACTCCTGACTAGAGTAATCTTTCTTGTTTATTAAAGCTGGGGAGCTTAAACATCATCAATATTTACTTTCAATGCTTCCTACCTATTCCATGCGCTGGTTTTCACGCACCTATTGATTATAATGGGGTGCCAGGCATTTTATTGATTCATCAGTGCAACGAAATGTGCATAGCTGTAGCCAGTTTGTGTATGTGGGTGTGTGTTTGGGTGTGTGTGCCAGTGTGTGTGGGTGTGTGCCAGTGCGCACGTTTGCTGGGCAGAAGTGCACGTTGCTTGCTATGCAAACTTTGGCTGTTGCTGCCTCTGCTGCTGTTGCCTTTAATCAAATATCAATAACGCTTCCGAGCCAGGACGAACTGCTAGGATATTTATGTGTCCATGATTATGTTTAATGTGCTTTTTCTTCAATTCCTGCACGTTCGTGTGCAGGCAACTTTGAGTCTTTCGTGGCTTTAACTTTTGCCGTTGTGTGTGGCACGCAAAATGCAAAGCGCAATTGTGCGCCTGCCCTTGGCGCTGCCCCCTGCCAGTGGAACTTCCCAGGGCTTCATATAATGGAATATAATAGTGAATTTATTTGATTTACATACGAATGAATGTGCATCATAAATGCAAACTGCACTTATGCATGCAATGTGTTTAAGTTTCTCACCCTCTCTTTCGCACTCACTCTCGACCTATCTATCTTAGTCTCAGAGTAAACTTTTACAAATTGAGCAACAAAATCATCAAAATATAGAATGCATTTACCTTATAGGCTGGTATGTATTTACCGTACATGCAAAATATGGCACTATCTCACAGAATTTAAGATTGTTGTTTTTATCTTCTTACTCCAATGCATGTGATGATTAAAATTAATATTGAAACTTAAACCATATGCTATCCCAAGTATTTCCTGTCACGCCTCACCCTTTCCGAGCATAACTGTGTATATATTTTATTCAATAAAGTAATATTGTTTGTGTGATTCGCGCCAACTTCAAACATAATCGAACCACTCTAACGAGCCCCACGCGTTTACGCATTCACCACATTCGAACCCTTAACTTTGTACTACTCAATCTATTCAATACAACCAACTCAATGGAAAAATGATTTGTATAAATCATTTCCGCATTCATTTGATGTTGTGTCTACTTATTAGTATTTCTTAAATAAAATAAAATAAACACCTCTTAAACAGCCAAACAACCTCAGTAACAATCTCCACGTCAAAAAGCGCAGACGTGTAAAATAATGTATGTAAAATGTTCGAAATAATGTTTAATTTAATTTATTGTATTATAATTGTTAATTGTTTTTTGTATCTTGGTGTTAGTGCCCTGAAGACGGTTTGCCGATGTGCAACCGAAATATATCGGAAACAAATATAAAATAAAATTGTTTTTCATTGTTTGTTTTAACAAACACGGACCTCGAGCCAGCCAACAAAATATTTTGAAATATGGAAAGGTCGCCAGAGCCATCAATAAAATAAACAAGTTTAAAAATGGACAATTGCTGTTGAGTTTGAACCGGCGACTTATCGTTTGCTAGTCCGACGTTTAGACACCTAAGCATATGTGGCTGATACTCACAACGTCTTGCATGCTTGCAAATATAGTAGCATAAAAGAAATTATTTGTTTTAAGTCAAATTTCTTATTTTGTATATTCTTACATTAATTACATCCATATGTATATATGTATACTTATATAATGCATATAGAAGAGGTGAAGATGAATAAAAATAAATGCTGTAATTGAGTTGCTGTAATTGAGTTGACCCTGGTTTTTTGGCATGCATGCCTAGTTTGTTGACAAGATTAGACCAGCTGAGAGTACTCAGCTCAGAAGTGCAGCAAAAAGTGGCAAAAAGTGGCAAAAAGTTACAAAAATATCAGTGTATTCCAGTTGTCTATGCAACGTAACGTATAACGTAAGAGTAAATTAAGTACGCATTACGTGACGAAATGAAAATGCATTCACAACTCTTAACACATTCTCGCGCTGGCAATTGCGTTGTGGCTGCTGAAGCCATCAAAGCGAATAGAATTCGAAATCGAATAACAAATGTCATCCATTTCAGATGAGATCCAATATTCAAATGTGTCACAATATCGATATCGTTATCGGACGTATGCATATACAAATGTATGTGCATGCATACAATTGACATCAATCCCATTTTCATTTCCATTTCCATTCCGATTCACATTCAATTCCCGCTCCATTCCTATTCCGTTTGGCCGTTGCACCCATCTCTTCTGGCCAATGTCACAAATTAAAGTTTATTTTCAGACAATTTTTATTTAAAGGTCTCTCGCAGCGAGCAGAGGGAGCCAGAGTGTAAGAGGGACAGAGAACTGAGAAGGACAGAGGTGCGGGATACGGATAAACAAACATTCAGCGAGCTGGACAGGATCGAGGCCAGGCGCAGCCTTGTTTGTGCCTTCCGCTGCTTTTGGTTATTGTTGTTATCGCTGTTGTTGTTGTTGTTGATGTTGTTGCTGTTGGAGTTGCTGTTGTTGCTCCTGTTGTTGTTGTCGCATTTATGCTCACTTAATGGCAGCGACAATCGACCAACGAATATTCCTTAGCCTTGGCCAGCAGCGCGTTGGCCCTGGCCTCGGCAACGCACACAATGCGGAATAATAAAAACAATAACGAGTACAACAACAACGATAATAACAACAACGACAATAACAACAACAACAACAACAGGAACAACAGCCACATATGGCTGAACCTTCGATTTCCTTTAGCCGCTTTCCCGCCACCTCCCATGAGCAACACATTTTCCGCATCATTCTGGCCTGCCAACTCTTTTGGTCATTTTTGGTTGGGAGCATATTGAAAAATTGTTGTTGTAGGAAAAAGCCATTTGGCTATTGTTTGTCATACTTGGCCGGCCCCCCGCCGATCCCATTTCGCACGAATTTTCTCCTCATCCCTTTCGATAACCCGTCTGCCCACTGCGGTGGATTTTCAATAAATGACTTACATCGCGAGCTAACTGCTGTCCATGTTCATGTGTCTGACCGGCAATGGGGCAATGGGGCAATGGGATGGGAGGGGGCTCCGCTTTTCCAATCCAATGGAACATCCAGCTGGGGGCTGCTGTTGGTCCTGGCATTTGTTTGTGCTTTTAACGAGCACAGCTGCGTATAGCACGCGCAAATCGCTTTTAAAAATAATAACAATGTTGTTTGGACTTTGGACTGTCTCCCGCCTGACGATTACAATGATGATGAGCATAATGAAGAGGATGATGATAATGTTGTCGATGACAATGACTATGACGCTGTGGATAACGATGGGGCAGTTTAAAATGCAGCTAAGCTAAGGCGAGTTCATCAATTCCTTTAAAACACTTTTACTCTGTGTTTATATATACTATACTAAGAAACTCTAAGTATGGAAGTTTTATATTAAGTTTCAGGCAAACTGTTTTATAGGCTCTGAAATTGTTTAATTTTATTTGCTTTCGTTTTTTTAAGAGTGTTTGTTTCTTTCACATCATAACTACTCCAATGAAAAGCCTTGAACATAAATGTAATTTAAAAACAAACTTTATTTAACATTTTTAAAGTTTTCATTCTTAATTTTCAATAATATATTTGACGAAAATATAAGATGACTGATTGTTAGCATTATTAAAAGCAAAAATAATACAATCGACCCTTCCTAAAATCAGATATTAGCTCGGAGAACTGACACAAAATAAATAAATAAAATAAAAAATACATTAAATAAATGTATGCTCAACTGCATATCGGACTGCATTATTGAAAATGAGTGCGACTCAAGTCAATATTATTTAATTTTGAATCCAACATTCAGCCACGGGTGAACGAAACTTGCTTGTTCACAATGCATTCAATTTAATTTTAAGTTGCCATGTGCCTTAGCTGCAGGATAAACCGCAGCTATGATTGCAGCGCATTTGAAATTCAGATGAATGTAAAATATATTAAATTGATATAGCCTATGCCTTGTGTTTGTACAGGGTATAGGTAAAGCAAACACTTTCTGCACACAATCGATTGTTATTATTCCCTCTAACTGCTCTCTTTCTCTTCCCCCATCTCTCCATTTCTCGCTCTGTCTCTCTTTTTCTCTCTCTGGCGCTGCTCTTTTTGTTGGCTAATGAAAACGTTTGGTCGGCAAATGGAGTACGAGTAGTTATTAAAATATTTTTCCATGTGTGCCTGTCCGTGACATTTACAGGCATTTCGACAAGCAGCCATTACACACCCACACACACACATTCCCACTCACACATACACACAGGTACAGCTTAACCTGATGAGATGTACGGGACATTTGTAGGTTTGTAGCAAATGCCTAGGCCTAATGAAATTCGGGCACACTTGGAGTTTGGGTTTCCGGTGGAGGAGTGTCCACTACACAGCAAGATTGGGCAATGTTGTTGTGAGTTTGCTTTAAAGTGCAGCCTATTTACCTGAACGTTCGCTTGTGTATATATATATATATATGTGTGTTCGTGTGTGTGCGTATGCCTTGTGTTTGTGAGCCAGCATAAATGACGCGCTGCATGTGACCGAGTCCGTCCGACAAAATGAATGCCCTGGGCCCGAGCATGCTGTGCTGGGACTGTTTGCTTTCAGCCTCCTACTGCTCCGCTACGCATTCATTTGGCTCAGTTCAGTTCAGTTCAGTTCAGTTCAGTTTAGATTTCATAGCCTCTTATGTGGTTTTTGAGATGATTTTAATCAAAGTATTTAAAGCGTGCATTTGCTTGTCATTTGCAGTTATTGCTGCATAAACATAAGCATACACACAGACAAGGAAACACGACATTGTATACCCTGTAAAGGCTATTATAATTTTGTATTTGGGCTTAAAACAGAGATAAGAGAACACAACAGACTTGAGCCTACATATAAAACAGATTGTCATGATTGATTGAATGATTCACAGGTGATAAACGCAGACATCCACCCGTTACAGCTTAAAGCTGACTGTATACGATGTAAGACAGGGAATTTGACAATTTCTCCCGCAACATTGGTGCTAAATTGTTGTACGAATAAGAATTAATTTAGACTTTTTAGAAAATTCAGCTACCGATTCAGGTTATTCCACACTTAAGATTGGAGAAAGGGCTTAAGAGTGTTGTATTATTTTCTGAATTGTTAAATTTAATGTATTTTTCAAATAACCTCATGAAGAACCTAAAAAGTTACCATAAAGCCGATTAAGGGAAAACATGAAAGTGCCATAAAATAAAATGCGCCCATTTTCCGACTACGGGATAGATTTTCCAAAATCTGCAAAGCGCGTGCCTTATATTTTCTAATGTGAAGCATTGAAAATGAGTTCGACGCCGATCGAAGGAGCATTAAACTTTCTTTCATACTATGTTTGACAACTTGTTTCCACCCATGAGAGTGGATTTTCCATAAAGTGTGAAACACATCATCATTGAACTTGTTTGGGCGGAACGCTCATTACAAATTGACCTGTGACTCAGTCAGTCAACCTATAATCATTTTGGCAGACTACTCACCAATAAAGTATTTCTTGAATGAGTACTCGTGCGTATGAGTTTTCTTTAATGAATGAACCGTTAAGCTTAGACTCCTTTTGAATCGTTGCGATCTGCCTTACAATCTGTTGTTAATTAAGTTATTTTCTTTTGGCCTATTGAAAGGTACCCGCTCGTCCAGCAATGCCAATTTCTTAATATTTTTTGCAGTTTTTGAAGTACATATTAATTAAAGTCTCTTTCCATATAATTATATTGCCTGCAACAAAGTCTCTTTTCATATAAATGTTATAGAATTATAAATCAAATGACATCGAAATTGTGACAAGGAAAACAATTTGCAATTCACAATCCACGTAAATAATGCATTTCACCTGTCATTGCAATATTCACGCCCACTTTGAGGGTCTTAAATTCGTCTTGGCAATCGCAATCGCATTTACAGTGAATATTTGTATTATTATTATTTTTGCTGGCACGTCGGCAAGCTTAACCTGCTATTTGTGTGTAAATAAATATGAATGTAGTCACTCGTATGAGTATTTCAGGATTTAATATTGTTGAATTTTCATTTAATTTGTGTGACTTCGTCTTAAATTCCAATTAAAACATTCAAAGCCGTCCGAGAAAAACGCCTTGTGCATTTTGATATGCAATTTATTTTTAATCGGGTTGCAGACGCACTTGACACACAGTCGACATCCTTGACTTATAGTAGCATAAATATTTTAATAGTAAAGTCTTAAACAATTAGGTTAAATAAATGTATATTTCTTGAAATTAATCAAAAAAATAAATAGAAATGTTGCAGTTGGCTGCAACTGACTGGGTAATTGTAGGCCAAAGTCCAAATAAAGCTAAATAAGGTCAAATTTGTATAAAATTTGTATAAAATTGATGAGCTCTTCAATATATTGTAACTATAAGTTCTCGAACATATACATAATAAACATAATTAGTGTCTACTCAGACATTTGCCTGTACATAG